TAATTCCTCGTGATCTTGATTGATCTTTGTGTTTTTTATTCGGGTTTTCTTCTTCTTCGTGGGATTCTCGTCTTCCTGATCTTCTTTTCGAGCTCTTTATTTGTGGGTTCCTCATGGATTCTGTTACTAAAGAGTCGTTGAAGGGGGAATTATTGTGGTGGTCTTACACTACAAATGTTTCCATCTCAGAATTTAGCTGTAACTTAGGAAAAAATAGTAATTATTTGGCATAAAGTAAGAACATGAATACATGAAAATGCAAGTATTTGATTAATATGTCGATAGAATTTAAAGACTGAAATGGTTAAGAGTCAGTTGGAATTCGTACTTGATGGTGATCAACAGTCCAATAGTGTTGGCACTTATGGTTAAGTTTCTAGTCTTATGCTGAAAAAAACAGTTGCAGTCTATTTCAAATAGAAAGTAAAATTTCCACCCAACCTAACAATCTGAACAGTGAATGGCATGAAGTTGTCAATTCTAGGTCGAGCGTAATTGGGTCTTTGTCATAATTGAGTCAACTGGAATAACCTTTGCCTATTTATCAATTAGTCCTGTTTGGATAAGAGTCTTCCATGGTTTGACCACTCCGGATTGACTCCTATTAACGATCTATAACCACCCTTATCAGGATATCCACCTAATTATCTATCCTTCACCATCATTCCCTCTCTATGAACATACGAAATCCCAAACCCTTTACCATTTTCATCACTTGTCTTAAAGCTCAGTTGCATATTTTCTTCCGTTCAATATTTAGAATTCCCACTTCGACATGTAGCTGAAACCTGTTGCTGTCTTCACTAGATATCTCATCAGGTTTCATTGCTGCAAGAGGCTTTAATACCTCTACGAGCTTTGCTCTTTCTTCCATTCTGACTGGTGAAAACCTTCTGTCTCCCGGCTTCTAAATTTATGACTTTTCCCCTCTTTTCCATGAGCCCATGTTCTCCTAAGTTATCCTCTCTGGCCAAGTATAACAAATCTTGCAAAAATAACATTAACACTAGCAATGGAAATTGCTCCGGCCATCCCCGCTGATTAATAATTAGGTTATCCTGGTAGAGGGTGATTCCTTATCCAGTCCTAAATAGAGGGCTATCCATTATCCAGGTCAGATTTGTATTAGGAATTTTGACCTGTTAATTTTACAGTCCGGTAAGCATATATAGGATGAATGAATTCATAACCCAAATAATTAGACCTATTGGTACCCCCAATATCAAAATATATGGAGAAGGAAACATGTAAAATTTTCTTTAGATGGTTGGAAGGAAACACTGGATGTTGGGATAGATGGTTCAAAGTGCATGCAAGAGATGTTGAGATCAGTCATATAAATAAGTTGTAGAGGAAGATTCATATGCAGATGCAGGAGTTAAAGATCGATAAAACATGTATTAAGTTATTCATGAGAAGTTACCATCACCAATTATGGTTTTAGAATTGATTACATTGTTGAAAGTTCAATTCCTTAAAACCCATTGTACGTTTGATCATCTAACGCAGAATATGAGGTGAAAAAAAGGTAAAGGATCCTAACTGCAGACCTTTACTGAAAGAAACATTTTTTTCTTGCACTTGTCTGTTTCAAAAACTGATCTGAAAAACGAATCTTAGGTAAATTAAGAAAAGGGTCATGATTGTGTACCAAACTTATCAAGTGGCACACGTAAGTTTTAGGCATACCTGAGACTCAAGAAACGTAGGCAAATTAAGATAAGGGTTGTGATCCTTTACCAAATTTATCAAGTGCCACATGTAATATTTTAGCATACCTGTACTATATATAGAGCATGACTTTTCTTTTGTTAAATAATAAATCTATAAATCTATGTGCTGACTTACTCTTTATATTGAATAAATGTGTCAGAAATAAGATTTATTATGAGCAAGCCTTCCATCTTTAGTTAGCGATCAATGTGTTTACATAACGATATGTAAAATCTATTTATACAGATAGTTAAGAGAATCTTAAGGTTTAACACTAAAGATCGCTCACTCTGAGGTTGTAAATTATGTGTATGCCTAAATATTTCTTCAATTGTAGACCATGTAAGTTTTACATATATTATGCTAACACATGTTTCATAACTGAAAAATATGTATGCCTTAAAATTTACATTAAATATTCCTTCAGTCTGATTTAGTAAATTATGTGTATGCCTAAATATTTCTTCAATTGTAGACCATGTAAGTTTTACATATATTATGCTAACACATGTTTGATAACTGAAAAATATGTATGCCTTAAAATTTACATTAAATACTCCTTCAGTCTGATTTAGTAAATTATGTGTATGCCTAAATATTTCTTCAACTGTAGAACTTGTAAGTTATAATTATAGTTAGCTGACACATGTTTAGAACTGAAAAAATAAAGGTTCTTATTGTGATCAAACTTCTATCTCAGTACATAATAGTTTTAGATTGCCAGTACAATGAATTCAAATTGTGGTGCGCGAAAGTGGAACTATTGTGATAGACTTGGTAGTCTCTGTAATCTGGACAATGTAATAAGTGTTTTGATAGTCAACTTTTTTGACCTTTCTGTGGATGGAAGTGGAAAATTCTGTTCAAATAGTTGTGGTGAGTTTTAAGTCGGCTTCGAATTTGATAACACTACATACAACGAAATAAAAGAATTAGTTTGTCAATTTATGGTTTGCACCTTGTATCTCATGTCACCTACAAGACACGCTTTTCCACTCATGTATGTGGATCTTGGTTTAGTGGAATTGGATAGTAGCTCTTTGGTTGCTTGATAGGATAATAGGAAATAAAGGCTCAATTATTTTCAGTTTTCACTGGTGTTGACTATTATCAACATATTTTGATATGAAAATGCAAACTTCCCATGTAGCAAATTTAATTTCACCTTAACCTCTTTCTGCTACTTTGGTCAAGATGGATCCTGTTATCTTTAGGGAATTATTGCTTGTGGTAACATCTACGGAGGACCGTCATGGTTGAATATGCGTTATTTTGTCAATTAGGTGCAAGATTTATGTACTCATATCTGTACCCATTTTGAAAAGGCCCTTGTGGTTTTGGAAACAGAATTGTAAGGAAACATAATACCTTTTGGGATGGCAGAATTGATCATAATATAGTTTTCAGCAAGTAGGTGAAGCTGTTAAACTCTATGATAATGAAATCAAGGAAGTCAGCTATAGTTTTTACATTTTTATTTTGTTTATTGTTTTATTTTTTATTTTTTACTTTTTACTTTACTTTTTGAGGAAAGTAGTAGGGTAAAATGACTTAAAATATATTAATAAACTAGAAAGTGCAAGAACACAAGGCGTATTAGTAAAGAACTTAAATGTTTCGTTAATTCGTAGAGGAGAAGGTCATCCTCAACATTACTCATCACACAACAACATGAATAACCAAATGAGAGAAAAATAGATCATCAGACGATGAAAGAAACTTAAGTTCTCTAAACCAATCAAAGCAAAAGTCAAAGTGATCACCATCAGGCATATAAGGCCCAGGCTGCATCGGAAACATGAAGCATCTTTAGGATTACAGAAAAATAAAAAAGAACTGGTTGTTATATCATCAAACTTAGTTTGGACCAATAAGAAGTCTTCTTAAGTCCCTCTGTAGTAGCTTGGGAGTTGTTAAGCCTCAAAACCATCCTCGTGTTCTTGTTCTTCGTCCTTTCAGAGGCAGTTGTCCACATTTTAGGTGATGCAAAGTGGTAGAAATCGAAAGATTATTGGTAGAAATCGAAAGATTATATGAAGTATCCACACCATTGAAGATCTTTTGGTTCCTTGCATTCCAAATGATTCAACATACGAGTGGAAATAGGAGTTGGCTGAGCAGAGTTGCATTTTCAATTGGCATGAAGAGACCAAAGGAGTTGATCGAGTCAGAGAAGTTTGTTGCCCATGTGGAGATCTGGATATGATCTATGCAGAAATTCTATACTGCTAGTCTGCTAGAGCAAAAGCGCGCACGCACACACAAAGTATCCCCTATCTATCCTTTCTTTGTAAGTTTAAGCTAATTTTGGAGCTTTCCTTTTATAAGAATCCAATGGAAACCCTTTACTCTTCTTGGAACAATGGGTTCCCAAATGAGCTTGTAGAAGCTGCTGGTTTATGCCTCTGGAAATGAATATCTTGTACAAGGATTTAACAGTGTATGAACCTGAGATATGTACAGTCCACGTTACATGTCGGACAAAATTAGGCTTCATAGCGAGAAGGAGATGGAATAAATTATGTTTCTCCTCTCTAGCCTCATGAGGAGTTGCTCTTCTCAAGTTAGGATACCAGTTCCAGTTCCCTAGGGAATAGTAGCCCTGAGATAGTATGCTATCTTGTGATTATGCTAGTTATATAGTGATCCTCCTACTATGAGAAAACATACATTTGACTGTATTGTCTTCTTTGGACACAATTTGCTATATTTGACGGACTATTCTTATGGAACTAGTTTGGTCAATTAACTCGTTAAATTCTTTTGCAGAACTAATTTTGTGAGTTCTTTTACAGCATGTGTTCAGATGTTTACATGCAGTTCTTTGTCTACCCTGTTCAATAGAAATGATGATGACGACATTTTATCCTTTTTATGTAGAAAATTAATTTCATGAGTTGTTCTTGGGATTGTAGACACAACTTTTGGATTGTAATGCATGTTTGTCCAAAGGCTTGACTTTGTATGTCAGCCTATATTTTACTTGTGCAGTGGGCCTTTAAAAAGCATAGAGAGAGAGGATTCATGTTTGCCTATTTCCTCCAAATACTGGGACACCATGCCTATTCGTTGTGGCATACATTTGGTTACTATGTGTTAGGAAGTGAGGTTCTGCATTATTCAAGCCCATTAGTTTTATTCATCTACTTATTGATCTAACGTTATACTCTAATTCAACTTATTTTGCGAGCAATATAGTTTGATGCTTTTGTGTGCATCTTTTATGCCCATTTTTGTAATTTGAAGATCAGTCTAACCTTTTTCATCGGTATATTGCTTGCTTCTAGGTCCCGATGGTCTGTTCGAGGTCAAGCATCATTAAGATGCCACTGCTCGAAAAGTTGTGTTCTTCTTCATAATTTTTGTCTAGCTCTACATAAATGATGAAACTTGGGAACTTCACTATTTGAAGCAACCCCTTTCTGAATCTGAAAACTCCAATAATGTTGCTGAACCATCCGTCAATGTGCACCTCGTTCTTGTTGCTTGGTATTTCTGAATTCTGTCAAAGTATGTGTATATTCTATCGCAGAGCACGATTCTGCTGTTTTTTTTCTACCAACTCCAGTCATTGATGAGGACATTTTATTTGTCCATTTTATTTTATCTTTAGTCAAGAGTTGCAAAAATTGATCAGTGCCAGATTACTCATAGGGATCTGGTAGAATGATCAAAACCTACCATGGGATCTTGCTTTTGTCCATGTGTTGGTCATGCGACTTTAATTAAGGAGGAGATTACGGCAGAGAAGTAGAGGAGATTAGTTATTAAGTTGACTATGATGAATGTGACAGAGAAATATGAAGAGGTAAAGAGAAATACGACGAGGCATAATTGACCGAAAGGCTTTCGAAGGGGTAAAAGAAATACAAAACTTAAAGACAAAAGAAAGATTAGTATATACAGTGATCTTGGTCCGTTTAGATTGAGAGCTACATCGTATTAATTGCGTGTCAAGGGGATATCTACTCTTGAATCAATAAATGAGTTTAAGTCCACCAATTCAAGGGTAAACATTTGCTTACTACATGATTACTATTAGTAATCATGCAATGAACGGTGATCACTAGACACTGGATACTTTTTATATATTGAAGCCGTGGTGTCTATTTTTAGGACAAACCATTTAGAACATCATGCGGTTTCAATTCAAATACGTAGGTTCAAATCTGGATGTAATGGATGGCTACAAGCTTTCTGTTCAAACATATGAAATAAAATTTTCTCCTTTAGAATGAGACAGCAGCTTAAATATGCCTATGAGATGCACGACGTAAATGTGGCGACGATGGGCTTCACGAGTTTTACAGGATTGCCTCCTCAAATTTGGGAGCAAATTGTGACACACGTTAAATTTGGTCCAAGTATTTGTAAATCCAACGCTTACGTCTGTATATCTATCCGTACTCTAGCTATTCCGTCTCCCTCACTAACCAACCTCGTTCTTCACTTTATTATTATTAACTTGTATAATTTGACCACCATTTACTTGTTTTATTCCTCTTTTCAACGCATCTCGATTCGGTCAGCTCGCACGAAAAACTCGCCAATTGGTGGTTTTTTTTGAAGTACCACCCCGCGGTTTGCTCGTCCGAATCTTTATTTGAATGTAGTAAGTTAATTAATTAGAACACTGTCATTGTCCATCCAACTCACTCTCTACAATATGCAACTAGTTGTTTAATTCAACCAACCTTAATTATGTTTAATTCAACCAACGAGGATCTAGTTAGCGGCAGAGGACAACACATTCAGTGTACTGAACGAGTAATAAACAATAAGAACATAAATCCTTAATTATTGGCGGATCTTTTCGTCTAATGGAATTAATGGTACTTTATAACTGAACTTTATTTCACAAAATTGACCATAAACATTCAATTTTCACCATATTATCCCACGTTACCATTTGCCGCGGATACTATGTTGACGTATCTGAGACGGGGCCATATAAGATGGTTCTTTACGTTTTATTTTCGAATTTTAATAATAATTTTCACCATCGAGCAAACATTAAGTTGTATCATATACACTTTGTTCACATCCAGTGACACAACCATATCATCCGGATGTTCGGGATTATGGAGCATATAAACAACCCCACACAACAAGGGGCTCCAATGGGCTTTCATTACTTATCATCCCATATAATTCACAAAATCTAAAAGCATTAGTCACTCAAGATCGAGCTCCAAGAGCATCCTCCTCCTCAAGAGGATGACCTTCTCAAAACTAGCATATATCACTTTTTATAAGGTCCAAAGAAGTTCGAGAAGCTAACCATTAATATAATGTTTCATCTTTCCGTGCATTAGCCATTCAAACTTTCAACATTTTCATTCTCAATTCTTCATAGTAAAAAAAACTTGCATTCTTTCTCATTTATAAGATTTGTGAAGAACAAAGCAAAATAAACATCACATTATCTTAAATGAGAATTATTTTGTGTCTCATGATGCTTTCAGTTATTATCTTTTTAACATGAAACACGTCAAATTATTACGGTACATATCATCAACATATGAAAGCCATAAGTGACGGTCTAGATGTCTGATTCTGGCATGAGCCCCATTTACTTAATATTAATACGAAATGAAAATTGTAGTGCAAGAAACTATATATAAATATTATTATATATTATTACTTCTACAATGTTCTCTCGTTATAACTTACAACAAGATCCTTCCGATTATAATTTTGGACTTGGGGGTTCTTG